TCTTTTTAAGTGGGAGAACTTGCACAATTGGTGGCTGACTAAATACTTTTTTGCCCCACTGCATAAATAGTTAGTTCCTTCATGCATTAAATCCTAATTAACCTAGTAATGGTTTATCCATGGCAGGTATACTTAAGAATAATCATGGTCCCTCTTTTTGCAGTTTTATGTTTAATTTACAACTTATAATGTTTGATTTTCCGTGCTTAAAATATTTGTTTTAAATGGTTTTGTTGCCAACATATAGGCAACACTGTGATTCACTTAGATCAAGCATTGGCTCGAATGAGAGAATATGAACGGATGAAGATAGCCACAGAGGGTAACCTTGACTCCGAGGATGGTTGCTGCTGTAATCTCCAGAGTGTTCCTTCTTCTAAATTGGAAGGTATTAATTTGTTGCATGTAGTATCTGCTATATTAGCATTGATTTTTGAATGCAGATGTTTTGGTATTTATCATACATAAATTGTGTGAAAAAGCTGTGACTATACACTTGTTATATTGAACTTTTTATTTTTCAGTATGCTTACCTACCAAAACATAGAAGCATTTATATGATCAAAGGTCCAGAAATTGTTACGTATGTTGAAATTAAAATTTTGTGGGGAGAAAAAACATTAATGTTAGCATACTTTTTTAAAGGTTCAGATACAGTTGAAAGCCATTCTGCACCACAACCTACTGAAGTACCTACCATTCCTTGTCCTCGAATAGATACTCAGCAGCTTGATCGACAAATTAAAGCAATTATGAAAGAAGTTATCCCCTTTCTGAAGGTATTATAATGCTGATTTCAGTAACTACCATTTAGAAAATAAGAAGTTGCTCTTCCAGAAACCTTTAGCTATATTTTTCTTAAGAAGCAACTGATTCTCTCTGTAGAGAAGATGGTCCTTCACTTGTCCTATATTCAAAGTAAAAGTGTTTCTTATCCAGCGTTAGGATATTGCCTCATGTTCTGAATTCTCTAAAGGAACGCCTGATTGACTGAGGTCTGATCTTTTTCTTATCACTGTTTATATGTAAATTATGAACAGACCATGTAAAATAAGTTATTTTTCTCATACATACATCCTGTCAGGATCTACGCAAACCAGAGTCTTCGATTGCTTTATATGTTTTAATTAC